AATGATTATGAAAGATTACCATCACTAGTGAGCGATCTTTCAGGTCCGAGAACGCGAGAGTAAAATCCTGCCAAACAACGAAAACCTAATTCAAGGCGCGGCGGGGTAGGCACAGAGTACATGCTCTGTTGTTTCATAATCTTCAAGGCAGAGACGGCACGTCGGATCATCCGACAGCCCAAGTCTTCACATCATAATTTAGAGGACAGTGGCCTGTGAGAAGGCCTGTCGGAGAGCTTTTTTTTTTAATCGCTTGTAGCGCACGAAAGGGAATCCCTATAATGTTCAAAGAAAATCGTGCGTTCCTTGGGAGGATAAGAACAGGAGGTTGTTATTGGATTTTTTTTTTGAACTTTTAGAGATAATATGTTGTTGAGAATACTTCCACAGGCAATGAATTCCAGAGCCTAGCCGTTCTATGGATGAAGGAGTCTTGATAAAATGCTGTTCGACATCTTTCGAGGTTGACAACGAAAGGATGTGATGACTGGGCTCATCTAGTTCGTCTGATTGGTATTGCTAGTGAAGGAATGATAGCAGAGATTTCCGAAGAACATTTCCCGTGGAAGTATCGATAGGAAAGTGAAAGGTCGCCGACCTTTCTACGGTGTTCCAATGATGTCAAAGAGTGAATGAGTGTGGCGTCACCCATCAGGCGAATGGCTCTTCTCTGGATGGAATCTAAAAGCATCAGCGTATGTTTTGGTGCTGAACTCCATTTGTGGGAACATTGTTCTAGAACAGGCCGTATCTGCGCTTCGTAGAGCATGAGAAGCTGTTGAGGTGTAAAGTAGCTTTTCGCACGGAACAAGAATCCGAGTTTTTGTGAAGCAGCTTTTGCGATGGATTTGACATGATTATCCCATGAAAGAGTGTTGCTGATGGAAATACCGAGCATAGATATGGTGGGCTTGGTGGGGATGGTGGAGCCAGACATTACAATATCGGGCATACTGAGTTCCGCCTTTCTAGAGAAAATACAGGCTTGAGTTTTGGTGGCGTTGAATTCAACTAGGTTGTTAGTTCCCAAGGCTGTGATTTCAGCGAGATCTTCATTGACAGCATTGACCTGCCTGTGGCGTGAGCTCTTAGTTTCCTGGGAAGAAATGGGAATTCTGGAAGAGAACGCAGTATGGAGGGTACTATCATCTGCAAAGCTGTGGATGGGGCAAGATGGTACTCCCAATAGATCATTGATATGAAGAAGGAATAATGTTGGTGCCAAAATTGATCCTTGTGGAACGCCGGAATTGATGCCAATGGTATCATGGACCGTCCACCACCACCACGTGAAGCGACCTGCTCTTCGGTGGCGAAAGCCGTATTGTCTATCATTGATGATTCCTGAGCTCTCCAGATATTCGATAAGCTCAATATTGATGGCTTTCTCCATCACTTTGGAGATTACTTATAACAGGGTAATGGGCCTGTAGGTGTTGGGCAGGTTCTTGTTCCCTTTTCTGGGGATTGGTTGGACTCTAGTTGATTCCAGCATGATGGAAAAATACCTGACCTGTACGAGACGGTAAACAACTTGCAGAGAATCGGTGTTAATTCTGGTGCACATTTTTTGAGGATAATGGGTGGAATTTCATCAGAACCGTTAGCCTCATTCGTTTTGAGACCAAGCAAAATTCGTCTGATAGTGCGTTGACGGAAGACCATTTCGGGCATTCGACTCTCAACGGGTGGAATGTCTAGCGGCACTTTTTCTTGGGAATCTAAAGTAGAGTTTGCTGCGAACATTTCTGCAAAAATATTCGATCTCTCCTGCGATGTTGTTGCTAATGTGCCGTCGGATTTGGACAGTGGTGGAAATGAACTATTAGTGACATTTCTTCCGACCGCTCTAGCAAGGGACCGAAACGAACGGGAGCCATTGGGGCAATCTATGAGTTTCGATCATATCTTGGCATTGTATGTTAAGGTCATCCCTGCTGTATTCTAAAATATTTGTTTGGTAACATCCTTCGGAGGATGTTCAAATACCTTGGAATGAACCAATCCTGGTAGATTTTGCCAGAAGTCTGAAACTCTTCGTGCGGTCCAGGTGTTCAGTATATGATAGGCAAAGCTCTTGGTGCGATGCCAATGGCGGGTTCTGGTCCAATGAAACTACTTGCGGCACCCTCCCTTGCAAGGGAATCTGCCGTTTCGTTACCTTCCATACCAAAGTGGCCAAGAATCAGACCAGAAACAATTTATTCAGTCTTCCAATTGCGGATAGTCTTCTTCGGCACTTCAATACCAGTCTAGACGTTGCTCGGTTTGAGCTGAGTGCTCTCAGAGCCGCTTGGCTATCCCAGAATATGTTTATTATTTTATGCGTGTGGTTGGTTTCCTCCAATCTCTCCACACACACATCAATGGTGAAATTTTTGCCTGAAATACGGTTGCATGGGACCCAAGACAGGTTGATATCTCTGTCCTAGGTTTGCGACCGTATACACCCAGACCAGAGCCTGTGGGTGTTTTTGAACCACCTGTGAACCAACATCTGTCTGCCCTTAGTAGTTTTTCCTTCCGGAGGAACGTCATCTCTATTCGTGATTAGGACGGTATAAGGCAGGTCGTAAGTAACTGTTGGAGGCATTATGTCGGAGGTCATTCCTAGAATGCTGTGACTTTCTGTGCCCGTCAGTAGTCTGCTGCGCTCCGTGTTAGCCTGATTTGTGCAAATTGCAATATGCGCAATTCTGTATGTTGTTAATCTAGACTCTCTCCCCAGAAAAATGTGGAGAGGAGGTAGGTCTAGAAGAATTTCCATTGCTGCTGACGGTGTGGTGCTGATGGCCTCAGTGATTGCCAGACAAGCCTGTCTCTGTATGCTAGAGACCTTTTTTTGTGCCGTTCGCTGTGAGGCTTTCGGACACCAAGCAATCACTCCATATGTGATCATTGACCTGACAATCATCACATATGTATATGCAGTGGATTCGTTTGAGCCCTTAACCCCAACATTTTCCGCAAATACTTAGACAGGTCCATAAGGAGAATCTAGCTTTGTGAAGAACCTTTTCCAAATGAACGTTCCACGTGAGTTTCTTATCTTCACCCTCCACGAACCTCACCATTGTAGAAAAATGGAGTTATATCCTCCAGGTTCCTTTTTATGGTGAAGGTTACTATTACAGTTTTGCTAGCGTTGACAGAAATCTGTTCCCTCTGGCACCAACAGTAGACATTATCCAATGTACCATGAAAGATATTGAAGGCTACCCTTCCAGTCGTGTTACTTGACAAGATCGTCTGCATAATCTTGCAGCTCCACCCCTCTTCGGTCGAGGACAATGAGCAAATTGTCCATCAGGAGTGACCACAGACGGGGGATAGCACCCCGCCTTGTTGGCACCCTCTAGAGACCATGAACCTGATGGCCTCATCCTTAAGAGATATGGTAGCTGTCGTGCTTTATGAGCATGGCGTAAATCCAACCAGTGCGATAGTTGATTCTATGCCTTTTTCAGTTGAGGTTGATCCAATAAAGTTTGTTACTGCATTGTCAAATGCTCCTTCGATATTGAGAAAAATGATGACCGCAATTCCTCTGTTTCTCAGAGGTTGGGTGATTTTCTCTACTGGGTTATGAATTGCTGTATCTGTCGATTTGTCTGTTTGATAGGCATTCTGGTGGTTGTTCAGGGGGAATGTGCATGAAGCGACCCGTCTGATATATCCATCCAGCTCCCTTTCAAGTCCTTTCAACAGGATTTGGGATATAGGCTGCGGCCCACTTTCGGTATACCACCCTTGCCGCTAACCAACTGGGTGGTATGTAATTCCACGCCAGACTAACTGTATACAGTTTGATGAGTATGGGTAAAAGTACTTTCAGTCCGTTTTGCAGAAGAGCTGGAAACAAACCATCCTCTCCATGAGATTTGAAGGGCTGAAATTGAATATTCAACTGCCGGTGCTGCGATAACTTCCTTGGCGACCTCCCAATCGTTCTTCTTAGGACGTTTGGGAAGAGAGGAGGTCGATTGTTATCAAGATTCAGACTTCAAGGAAAGCAGTTTTCTATCAAAAGCTCTAACGTTTTTTTTCTAGAGGTCTCGAATGTGCCGTCTGGTCGTTTTATCGGATTCCCTTTCGTGCGCTCCAAGCGACAAAAAGGAAAAAAAAATCGACTATCTAGAGAGAATCTCGTGAATTCTTGTACTGTGAGGCATGTCAGATATAGTCTCACAGAACTTCCTTCTGGACTCCCGGTTTATCTTTCTGATTTCTTGATTATACTTCGTTAGAGTAGTTCTATAAAGCTCCCAGTCACCTGACTCTTTACCTTCTCTTCTTAACTTTTCAAGGCCTTTTGTTCCACCAAGAACAGTTCCGATCATTTTTTTTGTTTCCTCAGTGGACAGTTTTCGTGATAGGAGATCACTGCTTCGCGAATTTGTTTCGCTACAGTATCTTACACCTGTGTAATGCAGAATATCCATCCCCAAAGTGCGATTGGAGGGATCTCTAGTATCCACTCCAGTTAGTAGCTTTTGGGTCACGATATACCACCACTGGTCTTGGACTGGTTGCAATGTTGAATAGTATGTGTCTATGATCTGAACCATCAGGAGATACTGCCCAGTGTCATATCTTGTTGCTCAGAAAGCTTGAGCTGATAGTTAAATCTAGCACCTCTTGTCTATTTCTAGTCACGAAGGTTGGTTCGGAGTTCTTATTGATTACAGATAGTCCCTTCTCTAGTATAGGTATAACTAAAAAGTATTGATTATATTATTTAAAAAATTATTAAACCCCATAGGTTCAAAAAGGCAAACTTTAATGCGACGAGTAACTGCTTTTCCTAAGAAATCATGCAAAACTTGGTACCTTAGTTGCAATAATATCGATATATGTATCTCTATCTATCATCAATTAGTAGATATGAGTGGATTAATTAAAATATTCTTGAAAACCTAGAATCTCAAGACTGAGATATACCCTGCAGAAGTGCAAACGTGTAGATTGTTTAAACAACCAATAAGTCAAAGGAAACTCACATCATGCTGATTTTCCAATTCCCCACTCTCTACTGCTGCTTTAACATAATCCACAAAATCAACTAATTTTATCTTTTTCGAGTATTTTGTTTGCAGAGGTGGCAACACTTGCTGAAAAATTAAACATGAATCATTAATAATATGCGTATTCCAGAAATATTGAGAATGCATTATTTTTCATTTTCATATCTCAGTTCAAACAAATTTGCTAAAGGTCGATAAAAAATTCTGAGACCATATCAAATATATTCAATATAGTGCAGCGGTTAAGCTAGAATATTTCAATGAATATACCAATATGATAAGAACAGAGGAAGATGTGGAGCCAATGCCAACTGCCCCCTGGTGGGCATTTTTCAAAATGGCCACCAGAAAGACATCAGCAGTTAGATAAAGTTTGCTGCTGAAGGATTATGAATGTTTATTGAATGTTTCGAATTGATTCATGCCTTTTATTAGTTATTTACCGGGTCCATTGCATCAAGAGGTATAGAAAATCTATTTGGGGATATCGTACAATACCGTTAGAGGTCTACAATTATTGTCTTTCAAACGCGGAGCTACAAGATTGATCATTCTTTTAAAATGTACACCTTGTACTTTCTCACATATTCTGATTTATGATTATACCTTGCCTCTATCTCATTTTCGCAATTCGTTTGCGGCAGTCAATTGACATTATTTCGGAAAATTATAATACGCAGATGTTGATTCCAACGTGCTTGTTGATCTTCGGTTTCAAAATATCCATCCAATCCTATGATACTTCGACTATCACTTCAATGAAGTCATGATTGAAAGTTATCTCACAGGTTTATCTATAATGACTTGTGAAGACTATAAAAGAGTACAAGTGCAAGAAGGCTCGTCTGGAATGGACACAACTAGGGGAGAACCGCTTAACTATGCATAGTTCCCAAGTAGGCATAGTCGCAATATTTTTCCTTCCATCGGATATTTTGAAGAGCCGTGCTGTTCCACGTCGGCATAACGAATGTTTCAGTTGTCCTCTGAATGTTGAAGGGTATATGTGGCCTCTTAAAATTTTTACGAGAATAAACTATATTTCGTGAGTACTGATATGAGAAATTTTTGCATTATTGTAGTGATATATCAAGTCCTGCTTGTTTTTCTTCTATTCATATTCGTCCATAAGAGTTCGATAACCATTACCTTGCATCCCATATGATGCATCGAATATTGCATACAAGATCCATTCTAAAATTATGCAGTTTCCGTATGTTGGCATACCTAACATTGACCTTTGATGGCATAGTATGCCATCATACGACTAGGTGATAGCATACTATGTCATCATAGGACTAGATGGTCCTGTGCTGTTCAACTATCTGTTTTTTCAGAAAGTAATCGCGGAAACTCAGAACAGACATCAATGGAGTGGAGTGGACATGAACAAGGCAAACAAATTGAGCATGCCATCATGGGAAATCAAGTATGCCATCAAATGATATCCTCATATCAAGTGCCTATAATGGGTAAACAAATGTTTTCGTTTTTCAGAGAAAATCTTTTGAAAACTCACTTCTTCGCAATGCTGTTCAATTATATAGTAATAGAAAACTAGAGACTGATGAAAAAAAATCATTCGAATATCAATTTGTTACTTTGATATCGAGATTATTCGTTAGGGGTGCCATCATAGGTAGTTCTCCTCTATGTGCTTGCGACGGGGAGTGCTCTGTGGACAGAAGTGGCAGTCCTAAAACGCATGTTTTGAACTGATAGTGTACTAGATATGTACAGGGCCAGTTTTATTAATGTGAACCATCCTCTATCTTTTTCGTTTTCCACCCATTCAAGAAATTCCAAAATTGATTTTATACAATTTTTTGCACAGATTTCACTCATTTTGACAATGATGCAATATCTATTCAAATATACAGAGTATACAGAAATAAATAGATTTTTAAAATGGCACACCCTGTATATTTCGATAAATTTGAATTCCCTGAATCATTTTGATTTCAAACATATATATAAAAGGATCTTCATCTATCAAAATATACAGCGCATTTCATAGAAAAAAACAGTATATTTTTGTATACCCTGTATATTTGAAGAGATATTGTAACACTCTCTCAATATGATTGAAATCAATATGAAATATTGTGAAAAAATTAGTTTTAAATCTTTTTGAATGGATAGAAAACAAAGAAGATGAAGGGGGGGGTTTACATTAATCAAACTAGCCCTGTACAACACATTTTCGATATTTTCCTTAATTTTCCCAATGATAGTTCATTTGAAATTAATTAATCCTTCCCACCAATCTTTCATCAAAAAAAATCAATCTTGTTGCGCCGCGTTTGAAAAACACCTTGCAGAGATGAGAATAATTCTGCTTCCATGATCTACCGATACCCTCACAACACCGGATGTCCTATTGACGTCCAAATCATTTTGGAATATCTTTGGACGATATTTGGATATTCCTAGGGACATAGTCAAAATGTAAATTCTGGAATGTATGAATCAAATTGATGGGCATTTATATGTATGTGTAATTAGTTATATCACACTAGGGAAGACAAGACATATTTCTCATGAAATTCATCAAAATTTCCTCGTTACAATAATTATTTATTTCTATGTATACAGGGTGTTCGCGTATAAGTTCGACAAACTTCAGGAGGTGATTCCTTGTGATGTTTTCGGAAATAAATTTCAAATTAACATGTGTCCTAACTTGCTGGGTTTTCGAGATACAGGTTAATAATATTCCCATGAAAAATCAGTTTGTGTTGATAGTAACATGGAGTTTATTATTTTAGTGTAAACAGATTCGAAATAATATTTCCAGTGGCGTCACGTTGGGTTAATTTATTGATAATTAAGGTGAATATAATTTTGTACGTATTTCATCTTTATATTTTCATTAGATTGAACAATAGAAATGACAATAATTTCTGTAAGAATCAACATATAAAAAACGTCTCTATAAAGTATATATGAGTATATGCTGAGTAAGCAGTCTCTCATCTGTACAGTGGACTGTGTATATCCAACAACTTCCTTATCCCTTGGTGTCACTTTTGTATCTTGCTTAGTTTTTGGGGAAACAATAAAAATTCGATATGACAGCGAGGCTCTGGAACACATTTGCCACCGATACTGTACTATATCTTCAAAAAACATTGTCCCTATCTCTTATTGGAATTTAGTCATATAAATTTCTCACCACTACGTGGATATCCGGTATATAGCTTACGAAAATACATAAGTTCATTCAAAACATTCGATGATCATTCACAAACCTTCAGCAGCAAACTTTATTTAACTTCTGATGTCATTCAGGAGGTCATTCTGGAAAATGGCCACCACGGTCACCAGATTTGGTGCCTTTATCAAAAAGTGCACTATAGTTTAGCTAATCTGCTGAAGAGTCCCTCGATGGAAATTGACGTTAAAGTCTTCTTAACAGGGTACGGACAGATCCTCGTCTCCTCTCACTCCTAAGTGTTTGTGAAACAGTTATATTTCCATCCTTATTCAATTCGGGGGATAAACACTAGATTTTTGACATTTGTTGTTTTTTAGGTTATATTGAGGTCATTGACGTATCATACGTAATTTCCATATAGAATTCCTGATTCAACTATACCAAGATATAGTTGAACAATCCTCTAGTTTTAGAGTTTACTACTCCAGCATAATCTTTGCAAGGTAAGGAACATGCAATTTGTACTGAAAGCTCAATATATTTCACCAGAAGAGACTGTTCTTAGAATGTATACCAGGGTTGACTGAATTGACTGAATGAATTCTGATTTCAAGCTGAGCGGTAGTTCAACTATGAGCTGAATGAGCTGAGCCTTATGATTGAGAAATGGTGAAAACCTCGATGTGGGTATCTGAACTACTGTACTCATGTCATGTGTGCTAAATATATTTTCGGAGAACTCGGAGGAAAATTTATGGAGTGACTAATTCTAGGACGAAAAGTAGGCTTATAAAAAGTAATACGTGAAATTGCACAAAAATTAAGAATAGAATATACTTCACCCCCATGTTATAGATATGATTTTTTCGTCTCCCTTGATTAAAAAGTCATTCCCAAATAATTTATTGATGAAAGTGAGAAAGAAGTAGGTATACTGTTGTATCCTTACAACTCTGTTGATTACTTTCAATAAAACACCGAATTTAACATGGCATTTTATTTACTCATATTCGTAGAAGTACACCAAAATGGCGCAGCCAGCGTATCAGTAGGAGGCGTATCGTAGACTGAGACTCGCTAGTTCATCCCCAACCCGAAACAGTTAGTCCTGTGACTTCAGTAGGCATTGTTGCCAACATACATATCATATACAGTATAACTCATATGGGCACGTTATTTTCACTCTTGCATCCCACATATTTTCGTGCAGTTTTGAGCAGTGGTTATTTGAATACAACTAGAAGTGAGATCTGGAGCCAATGCAGTTTTCGTGATATTTTCATAAAAAAACTTCAGTGGCCACAATTTGGTTCGGAATATTTAGCTATTTTGTGAGAGATTGCTGTACATACCCTTCAGCGATATTCGTAGAGTTCCCAGCAAGAATGTCTCCTCCAGAATTTGCGAGTAAACTTGCCGAGGTTCTTTTGAAATTATGCCCGGTATAATTTATGATATCAGACAGTTTCAAAAATTCTGCAATTTTCTTTAGGAATTTCAGCAATAGAATTCTTTTCAACCATTTTTTAGATACATTTTCCTGCTCTATAGCAGACAAATAAACGTGTCTGGTATATTCACTATTGAATACCATATGACGTCGGTTTCACTTTTTCTCCCATGGGAGAAGAAGTTAGGGAGAACAAGTACTTTGCCTCCCTAGGAAGGAAAAGTACGACGTTGCTCCCTACATTGAGGCAAGGAAATGTTCACTTAGGATAGAGGTAGGCGGAAAAAGTTTTTCCCACACGTGTGCATCTAATTGTAGGGTGATAAGCACAATGAAAAAGTATACGTGATTTTTTATCAGTTTTACGTCGCATATTCTGCTCAATTTACCGATTTTCGAGTTCGGTCTCTTCATGTTTACTTTCCATGTTTTTAGTTTATCTTCATCTGTTGGAAAGCTTAAAAATTGAAATTTGCCATCTAACTGATTGGCACAGCCTAACAGAGCACAATTCTCAATTTTTTTCAAAAGAGAATAGAAAAATATCGTATTCAGTAAAAAATGTCCTTTTTTAATTATAAAATGTTTTTATTTTCTTGAATTTTATGATCATTAACATTCAGAAATCATTTGACACTGTCGATATTCTCTTTTTTCAACAAAATACGAAGAGTATTGGGAACGAATAAAAAATATCATCATTAGATTACTAGCTGACTTGGCAAACGTTGTTTTGCTATGCACAATATTTCTAGAAAATATTCTTTTAGTTAAATATTTACCAGCACACTTTATTTATTTCATTTTCTACTTCTTTTCAGTTCGGCTATTCATAAAAGCGTGTTTCTTCAGTTTTTTAAGATACTATTCATTTTATACTCGTTTTCAGCTCGGCAATCTATCTCTTCAGTTTTTTTAACTACTATCTATGTTCTACTTCTTCTTAATTCGACTGAGTATCTACGAACGCATGTTCAATAGATTTTTTAAACTATTTATTACAAAGCTCGTTCGCCATATTGGATCCGCCATCTTGAATATCTCAATTTTGACAAAAAATCATAAAATTCGACCCCGAAAACCCCCAGATACCGAACTTTGATAGAATCAGATCATAATTAGAAATGTCCTTCGCCATACTCGATCCGTCATCCTGAATTTTACCATTTTCCCGAAACAATCATTATCTCCTACCCCCAATACCCCCAGATACCAATTTTGAATAGAATCGGATTATAATTACAAAACTCGATCCCCATATGATCTTCCTAAACTAGTAAATACCCTGTACATTCCTATTATTGAAATTTTGAATGATTTTCTGTAGCGCCCATGGACGTGACGTGACAGCATTTTCAGGGATGCCAGTAGGCAAAACTGAAGTCTCTAGAATCTAGATCATTGAAAAAGAAATAATCATTCCAGAATCACGTCATTTGACAGGTTGCTGAGGGACAAACATTGTATTTTGTCAAGATTTGTCATATAAAACCAGAATCAGTGGGATCGTTTTCCTTGGAATCCGAGTTGGAACCAGAAAGAATTCCATAATTTTGTTTGGTGAAACTGTTATTATATTTTGGATGTGGCAGGGATGGCCAGGGCTATGCTCATCAAAGGTAACTTAACAGATAGTTTGTGTGCCCCCTCAAGAAAGCAGGTCAAAATCACGTGTTCTGGAATAGTCGTAGCTATGATCTGTCCGTACCCTGTTAAGATGACTTTAACGTCAGTTTCCATCAAGGGACCCTAATCTGCTCTACTGAACTGTATATTACCATAGATATATTACATTCTGAAATATATCCTTACTTACCGTGGGTACGGATCTCTTTGGTTTAACTACATTGATTCTAGAAGGAGTTCCAGTAATTTGCTCAGTTAATGGTACTTCATCCACGTGCGACTCCCTTCCTGAAAATGAAAATTTCTCTGATGAATAATAGCCCAGCATAGAATTCAAAATATACTCTGGTCTTCAACAAGTATGACTGTCAATTTCGAAACTAATTTGAATTTAACATCTCTACTTGCTATACGCTAATACCTACTTGGTCCTAATGTAGTTCCGACATATGATAGCTTATGTTTTTTATACCTAGAACATAGGAGAGTAAGACAACATTTATAAAATGAATGATAAGAGGGAATTACCAGAATCCAAATGCTGCTAATGGAATGAACAAGAGAAGAATCAGAGCCCAGAGGCTCCTATCCCCTTTGTCCTCATCATTGATAATATTCCCAATATCTCTGTCAGGATCATACAATTTTGGATCACCCATCGTTATCATGAATTTCTGTATCATTTTCAGCCTCCTCACATTGTAACACTCGTTTACGAATATCAAAGCAACACTGTAATTGGTAGCAGGCTCCAAAGGCGCGTTAGAACGACTAGTAGAATTCATAAATTGTTCGCCAATCACGAAAATGCTTGGATAGTCCATTCCTTTTGATTTCAATACTAGTTTGGACCTTTGCAAGACGGGTTCCCTTCCATCCTGCAAGCTCTTGGTGAATTCTAGTAAGTCTTCTGTTTCACCATACTTGGATACAATGATATAAATGGTTTCGTTGTGAAACCTGTCTTCGTATACTCGAAACTCCATTCTGATGGTTATGGTGGTGTTGGTACTGTTGTAGTGTATGTTTTCTTTGGGAATGTCTGTAGGCAATGCTGGAGGCGTAATGATGTCATGTGAAGGTGTGAAGATGCTGTGGAAATAATCGTTGTGAGATCTTATTGCCACTTTATACTTTGTACACATCACGAGTGAAGCTGCTTCAATCTGAAAATAATAATTTCTCCACTAAACGATGATTCTTCTCCTACTCCTGAATGTGGAGTCATAGGATTAGCGTATATAGGTAATACAACGAGTGAATTGATAATTTTCGAAATACGAATCTCTTTTATATTGAGAAAATAATTATGATGCTTGGATAACACACGAGCATATAACGCGCAATATGATTATTTCTTTTGAAAAAGAAAATTGATAGTAATAGTGAATTAATAGTGAGTGCTTATCATGATATTGGCTGAAGTAAGGTGTTACCCATTCCTGAATATGGAAATATCATGACTTCCATGACAGCCTACTGATGAGTCATATTTTAAAATTTTTGATTTTGAACAATCAATGAAAGAGCGAAATACAAAATTGAAGAAACAGCATATAGTTTTCCCGTATTCAATCAATAGCCGAATTTCAAAAAACGAAAACATTGTTTTCTGTTACCAAAACAGATATTCCAACCAATCAAAATCAAGAACATTTTGAAATGAGTAGAACAATCTTAGTCAAAGCACAAAAATCCTCTACTGCTCTCGCTGGTATAAGAAATGCCTTTTCAGGTATGCCAACAATGAAAATAATGTATTCCAAATCAAATGATTGTAACTTGAAAAAGTTGCTCCGACTGGGAGAAAACAATGAAGTCAATGATTTAAATCACAGGAAAATAATAAAGATATGTGACTGGTCGTGTGACTGAAGGAAGTGAATTGTTTAGCAAGGTTGGTTGAAACTCCTTCATGGCATTGATTGGAACTATTGGAAGAAATATGAAAGACTTTCTACTGAAGAAAATCCCAGACGAAACATCGACTCGACCTCAATAAACCAGTTCGGAATATTGCTCATCACAAGTTTTCTTCGAGGAAAATCCACAGAGTGGGGAACTATACTTCAACAAAATGGGCAAAGTACTGGATCGTCCATAATTTATTCAGATCAGACATATACAGGGTGTTCTCTAAGGTGAGCCATGTAGAATTCATTGAAATAGATTGATCTACCAGATATTGCCTGGAAAGAAGTTGCATAATAACGGAGATAATATATCAATTGAACATTTCATGAATTTTGAAAGGTGATTACCCGACTGAGCCCCTATCCCCCTACTACCGACCGCAGTAGATTTTATTTCTTCTAGCACTAGTCATCGGATCCGATTTCTCATTTGTTTTGTTGATTGATTGCGCACGATTACGGAAAAAAGTGGAAAGTGAATTCGTTAAGTTTTAAGGAAATATACTGAAATTTGAAAACTCAAGATTTATATTTGGGTGAATCTACAAATAACGGGTAACTTACAGGGAAATTTTGTTTACTATAGTCTTCGAATCATATTTTTACGAATTTGTATCTTTGAAATAGCTAATATAATGAAGATTTCACTTGTGATCGGGCCAGTCACTTTTTTGTATAGATTCTGAGATATTTTGATTTTTCTGAATTTGCCTGCCAGGGAACTGATGAGGGTAACACAGTAATGATAAAATACACAATTTCATAAGTATATAATGTATGGAATTTATTGAGATTTGAAACAAATGTATTCAAATATAATTTTGGCACATCTTTTCAGTCCTAAAACTATAGATATTGTATTACAGGAGAATTTATAACAATTTTCAAGTAATACTATGGGAAGAAAACTATTAGTCGTCACAACATCCTTTTGTCATTTTTATTAACGTTATATTACTTGAATTATATTACTTCAATTAAGTTCTACTTGAAGGTATACATCATCTAAGAAATTTACGAAATATAGGAACTAAAATATTTCAATCTATGCCTCAAAGTCATCAACATGACACTATTATAAATGATCTTCTCTACAAAAAATTAAAATAATTCTTCAAAATAGTTGCACATTAATTATTACTTTTCGAAAACTTCAATATCTTCCTAGAATTGGTAAAACACTATACTTATTCTTTTTTATGATGTTTTGTAGGTAATTTGAAGAATTAGAAAAAATCGGATTTTTTGAGAAATACTGTTAGACACAAGTATATTCACATCATTTTGTCGTCAATTTCGACTTCAATCGAACAACTCTTTTCCCAAACCCGTTTGTCTATAGAACGGCCAAGTTTTTATTGCCAGAGGAAGTTTTTCCAAGAACTAATAACCTTCAAAAGTTCAAAATAAAATTATCAAAAGTTAGGTACAATGTTTTTTTAAGAGTGGTTTTGTCCATATTATTTATGACACAATTTTTTTTTATATGAACGAGATTTTATAATAATGCTACAAAATGACACATAAGACAAAATAGTAACATTGATCATTTAGTTAGTCCTAAATATCCTGATTCATTTTACTTGATTCTTTGGGATTTTCTCTCCTCGTTTCTATAAAATAAAAGTATTCGTATTATTCCAATATATTTGTAGAGGGACAAATCAGATGATTTGCCTCAAAATGTCACAACTCAAAAATCGTGCGAAGAAGTAACTTTTCAGCACTAGTGCGATAAAGTAACTTTCCAGCACTAGTGCGATAAAGTAACTTTTCCGCACTATTTCATCGATTCATCGTGCGGAAAAGTGAAAATAGTGCGGTTAAGTTAAATTCGTGAAGAAAACTAAAATCGCACGGAAAAGTACAACTTTCAAAACGAAAAATCGTCCGAAAAAATTAATTTTCGGCACGCTTGTAGGAAAAAATACCTACACACGCTAATAGTTGGGATAAAAGTGATATAAAACAAATCATATCAGTACCCTGAAAACACGTCAGTCCTCTGGCGCAATATCTGACAAAGTACTGACGCCAACGGACTGACGAAAAAGCCATTAATTTGAGGTTATATTAGAACCAATGTTTCTTTTGGTATTTTCGAATATCAACAAGCTACATTTTGAGAAATCCAAATTAACTATGTATAAATTGGAATATAGCACATATTCACATGAAAATAACGACACACCACAGTACTGATATTTTCACTGGATCGGCACGGGACAAACACAACTCTAGCACCAACACAATAAAGGCGGTCATCGAATGACGCGGTCTGCAGCTAGCTTCACTACCAACGTTGAAATTTGACAGGAGTTCGACCTTGAGTCAGTGATATTTAGCGGGAATTTCAAATTCGAACAACAAACAACGGACTGACGAATAAAACTGAACACAAAGTTTCAATTTTTTTTTACGACAATAATGAGCATTTTATTCTACGAAAGTTTTGATATACATCAAAAAGTACATGACAGATTATGGTGAAACAGTAATTTTGTTTGTATTGAAGGTAATATTCAATACACCGCCACTTGATCGCGGGTTTTTAACGTTATGACATGACAGAGAACTGACGTTTTTAGAATATATTGTGGGGTTTTACAAACTTCTATTCCAAATAGATGACTAAAATTGGGTGACCAAATGAAATACTTCTAATTGTATTAAAATATAATGAAACATCAATGAAATGTGATAGCACTCAGTAACTATTGACCAATGACAGTGAGTTACCCGTTATTTGTAGAATCACCCATTTGTATGGTTGTAATTTACATAATGACATAAATGGGGAATTTTATTAGAATTCTGCTATAATTTTTGATAAAAAGGAACGTATGTTTCAATAATTTTTGAATGGCACTGGTATGAGCCTCATCAAATGAATGTCAAATGAAAATAAAAATCTGACATTTTTTATTTGTCATTTTGAATCATCGTAGCAACAATAGAAAAATAAACCTACCACTCAAAACACTACCTTGTCAAAACCAATTTTACTGTTGCCAGTCTCCATGGATTCTTCAGACGAAGATTTGCCAGAGAGTTTTGGAAGCGGCTAGAACTGCAAACTTGGATCTACTACCATCAAAATCCCGTCACAGGTATGAAAAGAAATATAATTTGTTTGAAAACTGGTTCCAGAATAAGGGAATCAAAAGTTTGAAAGAAGACGTTTTTTTGACTTATTTCGCTGAAATTTCCAAAACATGCAAGCCAAACACTCTTTGGTCCAGGTACTCAATGTTGAAAAGTGTAATCAAACTTAAAAAAAAAAACCTTGATTTGAGCAAGTTTTTTAAGGTCACAGCATATATAAAAAACCAAACATTGGATTTAGGCCAAAAAAGGCAAACATCTTCTTGGAAATAGAAATATTCCAGTTTATAAATCAAGCACCTGACAAAATTCATCTTCATATGAAAGTCGCTACGATTTTTGGTTTGGCGGGCGCATGATGTAGACGAGAAGAATTAACAAAGATGTCTTTAGATCATATTGATGCCAAAGGGAATATTATATTGATACATATCCCAGACACAAAGAACCATTCTTCCAGAAGCTTTGCGATTTCTGAGGAAGCTGAAAATGGAAAATTGCTCAATTTGTTCAGTAGGTATATGAGTTTAAGAAATCCTGAAACCGAACATAAGCGATTTTTCGTGAACTATAAGAACGGAACTTGCACTTCACAATGTATTAGAATAAACACCATCGGAAAAATGCCATCAGAAATTGCAAGTTATCTGAATCTTCCAAATCCTGAATTATATACGGGCCACAGTTTCCGACGTTCCGTCGCCACAATGCTTGCAAATTCCGGAGAAGGAAAAACAAATATTAAACGCCTCGGAGGTTGGAAATCTCCCAGCGTCGCAGAAGGTTATGTAGAAAGCTCACCAAGTTTCCAAAAGGGCCTATCGAATAAAATATTGAACTTCAGTGACGCTGTCGCTGGCCCGTCCACTAGTCAGTAGCTGTTACCAGTGAAGCCTTCCGAAATGACCTCTTCCAGCCAAGTTCCGATGGCCACGGTTGCTGACAAAGCAATTGAAATCCGTAATATTACTTCATTAGAAAAAACTTTAGCTTCTGCAATTACTTTGCAGGATGCAACAAATTGCACGTTAAAAATTAATATTAATAATAATGTATTTGCGAACTATGTATTTAATAATGAATGTTTCTTCATGTTGAAACTTGTTTTTTTTTCCGCACGCTAGTAGAAAAAATAGTGTACCTAACACGTGCGTAAAGTGACTTTTCCGCACGAATCCGAAGGAATGGATACCGTGAACGAATTGAGATAGCGAATGGAAAAGATGTGACGTTATTCGCAGGTAGAGAGAAAGTTATTTTGTATCTATAGTGACTCATTGTTGAGCCGAGCAACACAGAGCGCTTATCACACGAATGGTGATAACTTGAAACAATTTTTGTGTATACATGCAGTGTGTCCCACTTACCATGCTCACCATGGGCATCGTTCACCAATCATGGGTATCTTTTTAACGGTGAGAGATACGAGGTCGGTTAAATGACACCAAATGTGGAGTTTATCAAGGCCAACTATAATGTGAAAATGTATTTCGATAAAATCTATTCGTTTTTGTTTTATACGCAAAAAACAGATTTTGATCATTTTCATGTCTCCTCCGTAACTTCTTTATTTATGAGAATATTCAAATAGGAATTTCACATTCTAATGGCAGTTTTTCAAAGTGATTTCGAAAAAAATATGAAATTTATACCAACTCTTCTAGAATTTGAGATATCAGCACCAACTTTAGTTTTTCAAATGTAGGTCATAGCTCACTATGACTTAGTAGCAAATAACTCTTTTTTGTCTCACAGATGATAAGTCGCAGTAATAGTTTTGTGTTGATAACAACGGAGTTATCGTCTTTTATAAAAAACAAAAAATCATTTGGAAGCTGCCATCTTGAATTTTTGAATTTTAACAAAAAAATCATGATCTCCGACCTCAAAAACCCCAACTCACCAATTTTGAATGGAATCGGACCAAATCTTGTCCGCCATCTTGGAGCAGCCATTTTTTTAATTTCAACAAAAATTTCATAACTCCGATTAACTTGAAATTTGGCAGGTGTTCATAATTTCGGTGACAATACATTATGGAAGTTTTGTTGAAATTAAAAAAAATGGCTGCTCCAAGATGGCGGACAAGATTTGGTCCGATTCCATTCAAAATTGGTAAGTGGGGGTTTTTGAGGTCGGAGATCATGATTTTTTCGTTAAAATTTGAAAATTCAGGATGGCGGCTTCCAAATGATTTTTTGTTTTTTATAAAAGACGATAACTCCGTTGATATCAACACAAAACTATTACTGCGACATATTATCTGTGAGACCAAAAAAAGTTATTTGTAACTGAGTCACACATTTGGTGTCATTTATCCGACCTCGTATCTCTCACCGTTAAAAAGATACCCATGGTGAGCATGGTAAGTGGGACACACTGTATACTAGGACCGTTATTGGGCCAACCGTCGGTGGGTTTTTGAACATCGATATTTTTCAATGAATTAATGGGCAATTTTAGGTGATATTGTCTATTTTGATGAGTTCCTGTTCAAAAAAATACCTTACCTTCGAGAACACATTGTATAACATATCCAGAAGTGGAAAGAACAACTATCAAGAATATTCTAGTCTTCATCAGAAGAGTAAGACTACAAGAGATGAGCAAACTCGTGATATATGGCATTGATAGATCCACCTGAAAACTGTAGTCCAGAATGCAGAATCCAGAGCCCACTGTATGTGCATAGTTGGATGGCCTATTTTGAGTTTGAGATATTTTTACTCGGACTCGAATATCCCTACTATACTGTAATCTTTCGTGGTAATACGTGATTCATACGGGGTGTAAGAGTGTCCAAGATAAGGATGTCTATATCATGGGGTAAAGTTGATGATGGTTTCTCCGAAACAAAACGTCATTCGGAAAATCAACGCTGTTTTGAAAAGTTCAAAAAGTGGCAATGAGAAAATGCCTTTTGTCCCAATATATCTCTTTGAACAACATCAGAAAAAAATGAAAACGATCCCCATGATAGACCTCTCCATATCTTGGACACAGTGTTTATCGAAATTGTTAATATACAAAAATATTCATTCATGGAAATCGACTCGACTCACCATATAGAAGTAGACCAGTTTGTAGTTTTCTTGTGATGTTAATTGGTAATAACTTGTTATTTCTTTCTGGTTTGCGGGTTTCAACTGAACTTCAAAACTCTTCAACAGTCCATTGGTCACATTGGGATGGTACCATGAAATGTTCAAATCATTATTTTCTTCACACGAAAGATGAACTTGATAGGGTGGTTGGGGTGCTACAAAAATATATCAGTTTTGATGTACCTCATATAAAAGTATATATAGAATTCATACCTTCTGCCCTAATGCCTACTGTTATTCCGTTCGAACTTTTTCCATATTTATTAATTCCCTTATTTTTAGCTTCGATCTACAATGAATATTGTGAACTTTGAGGAATATTATATCATCCATAACGATATCCTATCACTTTGGAATAAAGCATATATATATAGTCCTGAGTAGGTGAGTTTTATCCTTGGATCTGATTGTATTGCGTTGTAATTTTGGGTGATATAAGTAATTATGTATTGTATTATCGTAGCCTCTGATATAGACAATATTGAAATGATTTTTTACACACATACCTACCTATAATAATTTTAATAATAATGACATACCTAACTACTTCATTGATCATATGTAAATGTAAATAAATGTACAGTACAAAACAATCAATTGGCCATCGATCTTAGTCCTTCAGCCTATAACCCTCTTGAACGTGAGGAATTCAGAAATTTCAGGTTATACTGTGCGAACGGTCAGCTCATATAGTCGGGGCAAATGGGTCGTGGTTCATTTACTTATCATATCATGTAACTTTGTCAAAAATACAACAATTGGCATAAGAAAGATAGTTCCACCAGATAAGACTTTATTTGGATGCCATCTACAGAAAATAAAGTTCAACAAACCTCTTTCTTAAGCCAATCCCTGTAGAAAGATATTGCCTGTGCTGAAGGATATGAAAACAAATCAAACAAATAAAATTTACATTTACTGACTAAAAAGGATATTCGAAGGAGTATTAAATCTGCATTACAAACATTTGTAATATGTGTCACAAATGATATTGAATGCAACTGAAATGCAATTAGGTATGCATATATTACACAGGGTGTAAAATAAACGTTCTGTCAGCAAGACTGTGAATAAAACAGAAAATGTTGTTAGACTAGAGCTTATTGAAATTTCCGGCTTCCAAATTACATCCTGGTCAATTTCATCATCATTTTGGGCTCCAGGTTCTAGATTTCATGGGCATACGAGTCTGGTGAGACGTCAGGTGACCTATATGTATGCTTAGTCCAGCCAATACGTTGAATTCATGACATCAAGTTCGAAATTATCTATATCTTCTTGAAATTTACAACAATAACTTTCCAGTGTTAACAGGAACAATAAATCGGCTCTAATAGCCAGGAAAATCTCTCCATGAAGATTGTTTCCTCAAATCATCAGAAATGCATACTCTTTCGAGTCTATAATAAGAATTCAGCAAAATAGTTGAAAAGTAGAAGCAGAAGCAAGAGTAGAAGTACAAGTAAAGCTAAAGTAAGATAGAAGTCTGGCAGAACTCTAGTTAGATGTTATTAACGAAAAATTGTGGATGATCAAAAATGTAATTCAGTGGACATCCACATACGAGTTCATTCAATGGTGGCCAGATGCAGAAAGAAACGATTTTCAATTTTTCTTTCTCTTCTAGTTAAAAATTCAAGTGTCCATGTCATAAAAGTCAAAAAATCATAGTAACCAAATAGCCAGAATCGATCCAACCGTTGCAATAACCGATACCAGGTTCAAATGAATGATCAATACAGATCAATAACACTAAGAAAACGCTGACGGCATACTACTTAGATATTATGTTGAGGCTTTATAGAAGTCAATCATCCCTGATATGTTAATGTCGCGATCCTGTTTGTTGAAGGGCTGAACGCTGAACTACTGGTTAATGCTACACGAGACAATGAAATAAGAAAAAGAAGGATCAAAATTACAATTTTGAACCTAACAACTTGTTTGACATTTCACCTGAATATTTTCAAAATAAACTGAATAAATAAACTTCCATCAAGTCAACAAAACATAACACGCAATTGAAATCCAAATTATGTAAAGAATATATACAGGATGATCTCCGACGAATGCCAGTCACTCGTAGCTCCATGAAATCTGTAACAGAGGAGCTCAAAATATCCTACAAAAGGGAATGCAAATTCTCAAAATACATTCAGTGAAAACCAGAGTTGAATCAATTACTCTGAAGAGGTCAGTTGAATACTTGGTGTCCAGAGATAAAACTTACAAAACTTATATAGGGCCTGCCAATATGATTGCAGAATGTCATAATATACAAAAGTCCAAAACCGCTTCATTACTGATACCCAGAGTGATTTGAGGATTTTGACAAAAATTCAATCTGCCATATTAAATACAGAGATTAGGTACCCGATTGGGTTCGAATTTGGTACATGAATTGAACTCAAAGGATTCAACAAGAAGCCTCCTGAGCGAAACCAATATCAGAACCGGAACATATGTTTTTACCTTTTTTGAGTTATTGTGGGAATAACTCATCCTGTATAATATTCATGAAGAATCTGAGGTCATATCATAAATCTACGGAGAAAATACTATAGGAACACAGTTTCAGTCATTCCGTAATGAATTATTTTTTCAATATTTTTCATCAATTGTCGACTTAAATTTCATCAGAAATGGAAATATGATGAATGTTTACGAAACCAAAACATAATATTCGTCATTCTCTTTGATTACTTCGTAGGAATAATCCATGATTTACTCTCGTAACCTAAAAAAAACTGAAAAATACATTCGTATCAGGACCGAAATGACTCTTTCTCATGTTCTTGTAAGTGCAGCAGCACATATTCCTGAGGTCTGAATATATGCCGATTTGGAGCAACTCTTCTCAGTCCAGAACTGCTCCATTTCCGAGATACAGGGTAGGTAGTAAATTAAAAAAAAAATAAAAATCGAATTTTTTCAAAATTTATGAACAGTTTTGAACGTATCACTTCAAAAATTTTTAGCAGGGAAATCTCTGGGATACGGAACCCGAATACGGACACATTTCCACTGTGGTTAATAGAGGGCGCTTACCAATGCACTTCTTATAGTTAAGAAGGGCCATAGTTTTCTTCTCAATGTACTATTGAACTCTTTTTGTTGATGAAATGATTTTTCAAATATTTTTTATCAAGAAGGTACTCCTGTGACAATTCGCTAAAGTGATCCGATTTCGAGATATTTCGGTGCCGCACCGGAATATTTGAATAATTATTTTGAATGAAAAATGCATGTTTACTGTTATGTTTGTGAATGTAATTTGGTCAGTGAATCAGCAGTATAAAAACTCATTTCCCAAAATACTTCATTAGGGAAAACTTCTTGATTTTGATTTATTAAATTTACCACCCTTTATCTCGGAAACGGAGCAATTTCGGACAAAAGTAAGTTGCTTCACATCGGCTGATTTTGACCTATATGTCCTAAGATTTTGTACAGACCTTTCAGGAAGTAACTGACCTTGTATAATAATTAACTTCAATCTGATCGTAGATTCGGAATCAACTTAAAACAATATATTACTTGTTGAAAACGGGATGTACTAAATTTTTCGTGAATTTTATTTGTTTCAACTAATGAATTTGAATTTATGAAAATACAACACAACGAACAATAGTTTTTCGTAATAAATAAACAAGAAGAAATAATTTTTGGGTGTATGACAAATTCATCATACAGGACGTGGAAAGAAATTCCGAATTGAAAAAAATCTAATCACGAATCTGCGATTGAAGGTCTATAAGAATAACAAGTTTTCATCGTACAAGTTTGAACCCCTTGATTGGGTGAAATTATTGAGAAGGAATATTCTCAGAAAAAATTATGAACATAAAAATAGGATATCCCTTTCGTGGGAACCAGAACATGAAAAAAAAAATATATAAACATATGTATATGCACATTATATTCCGTTTCAAGAAACAATCAATTCGAGGAAAACTTTAACTAGTATTGAAATACAATATAGGTAGTCCTATATGATTTTTCCAGTTATTCTGAATCTAGGATCAGATCAATAATTATTGTTATACTGGGTCGGTACTTACAAGAACAAAAATACTAATTCCACCCCTGATACCAACTTATTCTCCGGTTTTTAGGTTACGAGAGTAGTTTATAAAACGTTACTATATATGAGGTTATCGATAACAATAACAACAGTGATGTCTTCATTATATTTCCATTTTTGCCGATATTGCTTCAGACAATTAATGAAAAAAATTCAAATAATATTGCATCAAATGGAATAACTGAAATTGTGCCAAAAACTTTCTCAACAAGTTCCTATAGTATTTTTCCAGTAGATTCTTAATATGACTTCATATTTTCGATAATCATTATACCGGGTGAGATATTCTCACCATAACTCAACATTCGAAAGATATTATATTCCGGTGCTGATATTCGTTTCGTTCAGAAGGCTACTTGTTGAAGCCTTTGAGTTCAATTTATGTACCAAATCTGAATTCAATTGAGTAATTCCTGTACTTAATATGGCAGATCGAATTTTTGTCAAAATCCACAAAATCACTCTGTATGTCAATAACGAAGCGGTTTTGAACATTTGTGTGCATTTTACAATCATATTGGCGGTCCCTAAAGCAGCATGAGTTTCGTCGGTTTTATCTCTGGACACCCTGTAGATTCGATATGATAAATACTTTAATTCCAGCTTATTTCAACCATTTCTCTAGCCTGATCGACATATTGAATCTTCTGAAACTTATTGGACAATTTACGAACAATGTAGGATTTTGTCTTCTACACTTGTGTATACATATACTTGCCGTAATATAGTATTTATGATTCTCCTGTATGTTATTGCTTATATCTGCACAATGGAAGTCAGGCCATAACCTGCAAGGGGTTGGATCAGATTCAATTTCGTACTGGTAATTTCGCCAATATGTTGTGTATCCATATTGAATCCTATACTTTTCTATATCACCAGTCGGGGGGTAAGGGGATCGCCATCGAAGAGAAACTGAATTCATCTCTTTTGAGTAAGCTTCAATTTTTGTTACCTTATATGGAACTGAAAACATCAACAAAAGCAAACAATCAGTAATCTGAAGTGAAAGCCCATCTAGTATAGGTATCAGATAAGTGGTTGATTCGATTATTTTCTTCGTATGATTTTACACCTCCCACTTCGCAGTCGGATTACTTCAACTATTAAGCTGACACTCTTTGTAATTATGCAACAAGTTATCGACGTTTAACCGGAATATTTTGGTGTACTTATATTCTACTGACAATATGAAGAGAGAAATTTATTAAGAATCAAATATTCCAAGGTACAAATGGTACAATACAAGGTGATCTCTATGTATGAATACAAAGAAACAGTCATTGGGTTGTCTATACCAAATACACGGAGAAAAAAAAGTAGGTACTAACTCTAGGTGAATATTTAATGGTGGCAAGTAAAAACTTGTATACTATTGGAGACAAAGAAGTAGAAGTTAATAGCCACAAGAATATTTGTGTTCCTGAAAATGTTCACCTACCACTATCAACCTGTTCCATTGAATTTTAGATTGATTACCGTTAGTGAACATATAGCACATGTTTTAGTGACTTATTCACTTGTCATAAGTGACTAATTCAATTGTCATCAGTGACATATTCATTTGCGATTAGTGACTTATTCACTTGTCACTAGTGAATTCTTCACTTTTCGTTAGTGATCTGATCACATGACATTAGTGTTTTATTTACTCGTCGTCGGTGGCTTATTCACTTTTCATATAAGTGACTTATTCATTACCTGTCATTAGCTAGGTACTATGAAAAATTACATATAATGTTCTCTGAAAAATGATAACCTTGGTGAGTACACAAAACTCGCGCATTTAATGAATTTATTGCATCAAGAAATCACAAAAAAGGAAGGCAGACGACGAATATTGAGACACTAGATACCGGGTATATCAGGATCATGGTCCGAGATAAACGGTCCATCAGATGCACTCGTGCACTTTTTTTTCTTCAGATGCAGATGAGAAAATGAAATTTAAATCAACTTTCATGCTCATCAAACGTCACTTTCTGCTACTTCGAGAATCATCGGAAGTGGAATATAGAATCCTGTATATAATAGAGTTTGAACAATATCAAATTCGCGCGATTTCCGATGAACACGAAATATTGAGACGATAAAACGTCCTCAACCCCTAACGTTGCACACTGGACCCGCACGTGGCTATACCCACTAAATATCACAAAATACAGTTCCAACCTCGGTTACAACCCACTCAACATGATACATAACAGTAATATTATTCAGATATAAGTTTCATGATATTGTTAAAATAACATCGCGATAATGACCTTCTGAAGTATCCAACATAATAATATGAAGTAAAACGTTAAAGAGACGTTGCATCAATGAAGAAATCAATATTATTAGATGATATTGTGATATATATGTTGATTCTAGGCTATTCAGATATCTCACACAGAGTTGTTATATTATGTGTGCAAAGTTTTCGTGTCACCCCCTATAACGTAGCGTACATGTATACAGGATAAACTATAACCTTGTCAACTGTCAAAAGTCAATTCGATTCCATTCCAGCCATACATGGTGAACAGGTCAATCAGTTTGATCAGTGAAAATATTGATTTTAAGCTATTATTTTTAGTTATCGAAACTAAGTTAAGAACTAAACAAATCTTGGACTCAAACAAATTCGAATGAAAATATGAATTGCTCATCATGATACCTACTTAGATTCCAGGTTTGCTCTGCTGGACTATAAATATACAACCAATCTGTATCTGTTTTCCATGATATGTGAAAAAGTAGGAGGGAAATCATTGCCAGAAGCAGAAAAGATACTTCCAGAAACTCGTATATATATTTACCTATTAAAAAAAAAGTGTTTAAAAGTGTTTTTAACCGCCAGCTTAGTTGCAAAGCAACCCTCGAAAGTCAGAGACTTGTGTGAGTTAAGAAGACGGGGACCTTAGCTTTTTAAGTGTCATCCGAAGCACTACTCGGCTGGTAACCGTGGACAGTCCAAAGGATTGATATCTAGGTACTTATCAGCCCAGACAACACAAGTGAATCCATTGGACAACCAATGGATGTCCAGCTATGGATACCCTGGACATCCATTGGATGGACGGCATTGTCCAGTATTTGTCCAATGGACATCCATTGGATAATACATGTCCAACAGTTTGGACATACATTGGAAGTCCATTGGCTTTCCATTAGACATCTGATGGATTTCCATTGGACATCCAATATTTGTCCTTTCCATTGGAAGTCTATTGGATACTCATCAGACATCCGATGGATTCCCAATGAAGATCCATTGTATGTCCATTACATTTGAAATACCATTGTATACACATCAGAACTCTAATGGATGTCTACCAAAAATCCAACTTATGTCCATTCCAATGATAAGTCTATTGGATACTCATCAGGAATACATTGGATTTCCATTGGATATTCAAATTTTGTCCAGCCAGAACGTAAATATTAAAAAAAAGTTGTCCTTTGAGGGGGGATTGAACTCCCGACCCCGCTCTCGTGGATCACAACGCTAACCTCTGGACCACTGAGCTGTTATAAATATTATAGCAAGTATTCCGTATTCACGGTATTTCACATCGAGAGAAAATGCAATTTGCTGAAGTTTAGTGCCGCAATAAAGCTTTTACACGGCCCTTATCAGAAGTGTTACAGGGTGATTCATCTTTTTCGAAAGAAACCTCGCCGTATAATATTTGCCCATATCGATCTTATTTGCACGGCCTAAATGGTTTAAAATTGAAATTGGATGAAAATCAACTTTAAAATAAGTACCTCTACCTCTATATAGGTACGTAACCTACAAAAATTATGAGACGTATAAAATCTTGAAAAATAGTACCGAGTGCGAAGTTGTCCGTGATTAATGTTCATATATATATTATATATTATTGGTAAAAATATTTCAATTGAAATAGAAGAGTCATGAATGACACATATATACTTTGCGAAACGATTTCCATTGGATAAGTATGATGGATATCCATTGGCTGTAAAAATTTCGTTGTCCATTGTACAACTACAAAATGGATGTCCATTGTATGTACAAATCTCTATGTCCATTGTACATATACACAATGGATGTCCATTGGACATCCATGGACATCCGGCTACCTAATGGATTCAAAATGGACATCCAATGGATGTATGTGTGTTATCTGGGAGAATTCAAGAAAATATGGTCCAGTGAGAGATCACTGGATTATGCAGAACTACCGGAAATAAATTATTGGCCCATTGCTTTCTTCGCTGGGAAAATGACTCCAACGGCAAAAATCTGTTGGCCTTTCACATTCTTGTAGTCACTTTGCCAGTGGAGCAGATAAGTATTGAGCCTTCAATCTTTTATTGAGTTTGGTTTTGCCGGGATAGACAACAAATTTGTTTACTCAATCTTCAAGAAGGCCAATGTTGGGCATTCAACCATGCCTATATGTTCCAGATGAACATTAATTTTGCTCAAGAGTAAATAATTCTTTTTATATTTCCTACAATACCAATTAGATATCATTATCGAATAAAGTTGACTAGAATATTGAAAACTACGTTCAAATATCTAATAAAATGTCTTATCTACGATGCATGGAAATCAGGTTTTATTATTTCATACAAATTCTTAAAGATTTGTAGATATATGAATATGACTGAAAAAAAAAAAGATATCTGATGTCTGCATCCTTGATTTTTGACCTTGCAGAACTTTTTATGAGAAATGCTTTTTTTTTCGATTTCTTTCATAAAATCAATAATAAAAAGTTCAACATATGAATCGATAAGAAATTATTGTAAGAAATGATGAAACATGATTTTCAATGTAGGTAGAATCTTATCAGATATTTGAACATAGCATTCAATTCTAGTCAACTTTTCTATATGATAATTTTCTATATTGTCAAAAATAAGGGTACTCTACTGTTGAGCAAATTGTATATTTTTTGACATACTTACCTCGACATAAAAATGCGATAGTTATAAGATATTCGCGGTTTTGTTTTTAGGCCTTGCAGAACTTTTTATGAAGAATCACTATCTTCCTAAAGCTAATAATGAGAGAGTTTTCCATTTGTCACCAACTTCTTCAGACATATACTGTATTCATTCCTAGAATGATCCAAAATTATCCGAATGGAATTATACAATGAATTATTTCTCTCAGAATATCAAAGTGTTAGTTGAAATATTATTATCCGAATATATTAGTTTGGAATATTCTCTTATCCGTTTCGATCCGTTTACATCCTACCGATAGTGACTTCATGAGATTAGATAACAATACGAGTAGCTATAGTCATGTTCTCATAGAAATTAACGTTCTCGTCGCCCGGAGTGTCCTTTTCTCGATGGCCTCGTATCAATGCAAGTTATTTTTCCGCAACATCTGGCTATGGGAGCAATGTATTCGGCATTTATTTCACCGCAAATGAATGTTTGTTGCATGGTTAGGCAAGACTGAATTAGTGAAACGAAATAACTAAAATGATACTTATAGATAGTGGTTAATCTGTCTCAAAATATCACTGTGTAACTGGATCATCCGTCTTTCACGACTACGGCAAGATCAATTCATTAACACAGTTATATTCAGGGATAGATAATTTTCTCTGTCTTTTCTAATGATCATTCAGATGATTCTCCTGATGATTCCATAAAAAATAGACATAACGTGAAAACACCTAGAAAACAATTATGTTGTTAATATATAATATTGTTTCGATGTTTTGAGTAACATTGTATATACGTTATGGAGTAACATTGATTTTATGTAATTCCTGATATATTCATATAACAATTACTATTGACATCACATTGTTATATTCAAAAGAGGCACAAAGGCCCATTGCCGCAACGTTTCTTTTGACATCAAGCATCTCTCTGAATAATATCACAAAATAATATCGTAATATGACATTTATGTTTGAGTTATATGTTTCAATGTTTAGTGGGCATTGCAGGTGACTCTGGCTATCTGGAACCCCGTTATTTTTTCATCGAACGCGTCAGGAAATCTATATAGAAATTGTTCAATGGCGCGTTTCACCGCAGGTCTAAGTTTGAATAAATGTCACGAATTCACTCGGATTGTTCAGGAACTTTGTAGGTATACTTTCTCAGAGATGGTAGAATTATACACCATATCGTTTTCGTACCCTTACAGAGATCCCAAATAACCACAAGACAAGAACTATTCCAATCGCAACCTTCTGACTTTCGAGCGAACATCTTGAGATCATTGATATATTTATTCTTCTCATCTGATCACTTTTTTCAGTATACGCATATTTTTAATTCAATTCAATCTAATTCATTTCGTGCCACTTACCGGTCGCTTTAGTTCGAAAAGTTTTAGATTCCATTCCGATCCAATCCTTCGCTTCAAGATTTCTCGAACCCTCCAAGAATACCGTATAATTCGAAAATGGTAACAACCCATTCAGAATATAATGTGGGCCGTTGAAATTATAAGTGTAATCTTGCACTGCTGTTGTAACACACCATTCGTGACCACAAGAAGCCTGAAGCCTGATATATATCTGACCCTCCAGATCCTCACAGCTCACTTCATTTAGCCTGATGCTAGCACTCTCATGGTATGGTTCCAGTGAAGCTATGGACATCTTCTCTTTATCTGTTAATTGCTCTAAAAACCATTATTAACATCTTGTATGCCCTTCAGGGATTCAAAGGGTACTTTAAATCCCTATTTTAAAGGAAACAAGTGGTACTAATTTAAATCCCTGGGGATTGAAAGTACATTTCATATCCATAGGAATTTGGAGTACCACTTTTTTCACCGAAATATAGATCACCATAATTACTGGGGTCGTTTATATAGTAACTAGCACCCCCTTTGATGACGTTTCAGAAATAGAATATCTACCGTTTATAGTGACATTAAATTTTTTTTCGTTATTTTTAACGTTTAACCTATCCTAAAGTGCATAAAATAGTATATACACCTCAGGACTAAAGTGTTTTCGAATCCCTCGACAATTCATAGCCATCCCGTTGGCGAGCTATACATTTTTTGTCTCGAGATTTTAAATACCACTTTAGTCACTATTTTCTACATTTATGCAAGAAACAAACCATTATTGAACTTTTTTCATTAGAAAAAGTGGTTCTTCATTGCACTAGTGCAATGACATTTTTATTGCACTCATCTGTCATTTTACTACAGCTGATCTTGACATGACTCACGTAAACGTTCAGCTAACTCGCGACATGTTTTGTCACTAGATTCTAGAGACAAGAAGAAACAAATAAATCGTCGAGAGTAGCGCAGGGATACTACGTAGAGGAATCACTTGCAAACAAACTCATCAATATTGCAAAACATATATCTCAGCCTGAAGACGATGACAATGAACAGATGCAGACCAAGTACTTATTATAGTACGTTCAGAGAGGTCGCAAATCAAGAAGTAGAATTAAAAAATGAATCGCTAAGAAATATAAATAGGTATTGAAAATTGTACAAATTGTACATTACTTTAAACATTAGCGGTAAAAATAATTCTCGAGTCAAATTGTTCCTAATGTATTAGTTCTTCTTTCCCAATGCAAATCGATAGTGATAATTAATTACTAAATATTTTGCTATTCAATTACTTTTTTAATTCTTCTACACCAATTAGTGTCACATCAATGAAATATGTTTTTTTTGTGCATGAACGCAAAAAAAAATTGTATGCAACTTGTGCAAATAAGTGTTTATTGCGCATTACGTATTGTCTAACTCGGCCTAACGGCCTCATTGCACAAATTTACGTCGCGTGCAATAAACACTTACTTTTTGAACATGTTGCATAAATATCTATTATGCACTTCAGGGATTCAAAGGGTATTTTAAATCCATATTTTCTGCGATACCATTGGTACTTTATATTCCTTGGGATTTGATGTACATTCTAAATCTCTATAGGGAGCAAAAATACCACTGGTTTACCCGAAATCTGGATCATCGAGGTCGTTGATACGGTGACAATCAGCCCCTTCGATGACGTTTAAGTAAAAGAATTTACCGTTTAGTGGTATTTGATTCTTTTCTCGTTATTTCTGTCGTTTTATCTATCCTAGAGTGTATGAAATAGTATAAACACCTCATCAGCACTTAAATCTCTCGACGAATTATATATCAACTTTATGTCTCCGGATTTAAAATTCCCTAGGTGTATGATGTACATTCAAGCACTCCAGGGATTCGAAAGGTTCTTTAAATCCCTATTTTCAGAAAAAGAGTTGTACTACAAATCACTTGGGATGTGAAATGTACTTTAAATCCCTAGGTATCGGAAGTATCATTTTTTCCCCTAAAACAGAGATTCAAAGTACCCTTCGAATCCCTAGGAATTCAAAGTAAATTTTTCTGCTATAAAATCTGAATTTCGAATTCAATTTTCAATAATAATTTTAAACAGAGAAAGTCATAAAAAAAATCAAGTTTAGGTAGAGCAAGCACAAACGAACAGGCCTTATCAGTGACTTCGATGCATGTATTCCGAAATCTTTGAAAGGTACTGCTCAATTCAATCAATATACAGGGAGAAATGTATTTCGCATTCCCTTTGATGAAAATTCATGTCATTTTTTGAGAGTCCGCCACTGACCACAATTTGATATTTCAAATAATGACAAAATCAATTATCTGAGTTTCATCTAACTGCAATTTTTTTATAATTTTTCTTGGTTTTCGAGATATTTGACATTAATTCATTTTGGTGCTTCCCCATACTTGTTTATGATGTTTGTTATGATGTTCATGATGTGTCAGGATCATGTACTGCAAGTGTTAACCTCATTCGTGTCGAGTTATTGACGACAATAATAATACTTATGAACTATTTGAGCATATGATAAAGTTATTGTTCATCTTCAAATTTTTTTGTTTTTCTCGATAAGTTTTTTGGCGGAAAGAGAAAATGAAAGGAAACGACCAGTTCCTATCATCATATGATGACGAGCTTATGAAATGGTGAACATGCATATTTTGGTCAATAACTCAACAAAAATGAGGTTAAAATTCGCGAAACATGGTAGATAATCCTGACATTATAGGAAAGTATGGAGAAGTAACAAAATCAATTTTGTTTGATATCTCGAAAACCAAGAGGAATTTCAAAATAACTGCAGAGAGTGAAAAGTTATAAAATTGATTCTGTCGTTAATTGAGATATCTAAATGTGGTCAGTGGCGTACTCCAAAAAAGTTACATCAATTTTCATCAAATAGAATCCGAAATATCTATATTTCTGTATATTGATTAAATTGGTATGACATGTTTTTCATGCACATTCACACTACTGAATTGTCCTACGAATTTGAGAGTAGTACCTCCCATGTATTTTGAAATATTTAAAAAATCTGGAAATACAATTATTTTTCATTGCCCTCTCACGGCTCAACGGTGCATTTTCTTATAGAGGTAAGTTGAATTCAATCGGTCTATTTTGGTCTCTAGTTCAACCTGAAGAATGTATAGTAAGTCGTTCTGGGTCACCTTGTACATATAATGAATTAGTAGTCATTTTTTCATAAGGAACAGAACGTATACATATGTTTTTGGGAGTTGTTTTGCCTCGGCTCTTGACCTATTGTGAAACGCCTATATATGCATATTCAAACCTCCAGCACATCCATGCGGTGCCAACCTTGAACTATGTCGAACAACACTTTACCAACACTCGTTCGTCTATAGAACCGCAAAGCTTTGAAATTATTCTCAAATGGAAGTATTCCCATGAACTTATAACCCCCAGAAGTTGAAGAAAAAAATCCATACCTATACCTCCACTCATTATCCTCCCAAGCCATGCACGCACGATGTTCGTCGAAAATTATAAGAATTTCCTGTCGTGTGCTCCAAGAGATAAAAAAATCATTTCCTCATTTATTCAGGTTGATATGTGAGTTTGGTATAGGTGAGTTAGAATTTCAAATGAGAACATAGACTTTCATGCTAAATCAAAAGCGAATGAACAAAGTATTCCCAGATTTGCAGAAGACTTTTATGAAGACAACCTAGATTGACTTTTAGCAACTGGAATAGAATGATAATATTGGAATTGAACAAAATATTGAGAAATTAATCGAAATCCATAGGTTCGTATACCTACCAAATGAAGAAGATGAATAAATCGTAAATTTTTGATTACGTTTCGACTACTGATACGTGAAAACAAGAAAATATTAGTCACAAAAATAGTATACCAGATGGCAAAGTACTAGCATTAACTGTCAATGGGTCTCCTGATCCAAAGCTTGTGAAAGCTCGAATAGTTATTCCATATGTAGAATATGATTCCAAACTATCTAAGCTTATCATTGGCGTCGCGACAACTTTTTCTTCTCCTGGATGGACGATGGTATTTCTTTCAATAGTACAAGGAACTCTATGAAGTAACTGAAATAAAAGGGAAAATGATTATGAAGGAATATAAGAGAGATGTTTTATAGGGTGTCCCAGAATAATAACGTACAATATGATCACTGGAAAACTGAAAAAAGTTGAATCAATTTTCTTCAAAGAGAATGCAGAATATCTACATATTCCCTGATAGCACAATTATGTCCGATAGGTATATTCAGGAGTTCCTTTCGAGACATTCAGGACGTCTATAGGACGTTCGAATTTGGTACCGCGGATGTCCATTGGACGTCTGTGGGATGCACGAATGTACGACTTGAGGACCAAATAGGGACGGTCTTGAGGGATGTCAATGGGACACTATCGGATACTAAAATCCTACAGTATTTCTCACCAAGCACTACGGAGGACATCCCTAGGACATCCGTAGGACAACCTATCTGCAACGCTGAGTGATATTATTCGGAAGTTCATTGGATGTCCGAGGAACGTACACATTATTCGATTTTTTTGGGTCTTCATAGGACCAGATCTTGATGATGAGGACATTCTGTTGAGTTGATGTTCCGTAGATGGTCCCCAATAGATCCTGGAGAAGGTTTTCAAGAAGTCCCATCAGAGAAGTTTGCCAAGGATGTCCAATGGACTCACGTAAAGGACATTGACGGGGAGTATTTATAGCCTACGAGCAGTCATTCGTCGGCGTGGTGTAAGTTAACATCCTCACAGGGAAACATATTGAATGTAACGATTGGGACATCCGAAGGAGGTTATTTCTAGGATATTGGGAGAAAAAGATGATCATTTGCTTGCGTGACGGACATTTATATAGGATGTATATCTGAAGTCCTGATGTCAATGTATACCACCAATGGATGTCCCTGAGATGATGTCCCTTAGGACACACTCCTAATATATTGTATATCCAGGTTATACTGAGAACGTCCTTGAGACGTACATAAGACGTTGTACTCATGATGTCTCATTAAATTATATTCTCCGAAACATATATTTGTACTTATTACTCAAGTGTCGTACTTGTACCAATTGGGACATCCGACGGATATCCTCAAGGGACATTCGATGGATGTCCCTATGAGACATTTCGAATAATATACGATCCTGAATCCATCCGTGAGATATATTTGAAGGAATGTATCGGGTGGTCACAAAAAAACCGGAAGTTTTTATTTTCCTCGTGGTTTCATCATTTCTCAACTGAATTCGAATTTCTTGACGTCGTTTCATAGCTAAAGGGCTATAATATACAGTGGAATATTTGAAAATTTCATAATGAACAAAAACAAAATGGCGCATTCTACCAAAGTATTGTCATTTACAAAAACCGCTGGAGAAAAAGAAAATCAGATTTTTTCCAACCTGTACCGATGTCATTATAGGCTATTCATTCCTGAAGAGAATGAGTACTCGAACATCAAAAACGAAAAAATAGTCCAGTAGATACACTCATTTCTTTGCAATTTGTTATGGAGTGAATGTGCTAATCTCGTATAAACGATTATTATTATTTTGCTACAGGCTTCATGAAAATTCAATTGAATTTGGATTTCTCAGAGTTATTTCAGAGATAAAGAACTGTAGTACACAATTAATGGAACTTTTGAAAATCCAATAATTGAAAGAAACAAAATGGTGGAGTATCCAGAATTTTTGTGATTTTCAAAAATCTCTGGCGAATAAAAAAATGATTATTCTACCAATCAGGACCGATACAATTTTAGATCATTGATTTCTAAAAAGAATGAGCGCTCGAACATCTGAATCGAACAATTAGTCCAGGAGAAACACTTTCTTTTTGGCGAAGTGTTATGGAGTGAATGTGCCAATCCCGTGATAAGAATTACTTTTAGTTTGCTTCTGGCTTTATCAGAATTCAATCGAATTTGGTTTTCTTAATGCCATTCTAAAGCTGAATAGCTGTAGTACACAGTGGAACATCTGAAAATTCCATAATTGAAAAAAAAAAACCGAAATGGTGGAGTAGCCCTAACTTTCGTGATTTACAAAAACCGCTAGCAAATAAAAAAAATTTGATATTGACATCGACATTTAAGTCCATGAAGATTGCGTGAAACACTGAAAATATATAAAACTTTATACTAGTTGTAGTCAAAACGAATTTTGAAATGACCTGAATGTGTCTCCCTTTTGCTTCAACTACGAAACTGAGCCAGCTCTGTATCGACCGGGCTATTTCTAACTCAAGCATCGCAATTTTCACGCAATAATCAATTATTTGCTTCAAATTTTCCAAGTTCTAGAAGTTTCTTTCATTTGTGAATACCCGTTCCTGTAAGGTACCCCAGACATTAAAATCTAAAGAGTTCAAGTCCGGGTTATTTGGAGGCCATATTGTTGGTTCGATTAGATAAGGAACTCTGTTGAGAGATAATCAATAGTTGCGCGTGCCGTATGCACAGGAGAACCATTCTATACATTTAAATAATGAATTATGTTATGTTGTTGTTGCTGTTAGTATGTGGTGATCAGATGGAAATATATTTTTAGAAGTTCGTTTTTCGACACATTCACTCCATAACATTGCAAAAAAGTGCATACAAGTTCTGGACTATTTGTTAAATCCAGATGTTCATGTTCTCATTCTCTTTGGAAATTAATGATATAAAATTACTCCGGTTCTGAATTGAGGAATTAACATTTTTCTATTCGCTAGCGGTTTTTGAAAATCAGTCAAATTAGGGATACTCCATTTTTCTTGCGATCATGGAATTTACAGATGTTCCACTGTGTACTAATTAATACAAATTCGATTGAATTTTGATAAAGCCAGGAGCAAACTGGAAGTAATTCTTATCACGAGATTGGCACATTCGCTCCATAACACTTTGCCAAAAAGAACGTGTTTCTCCTGGACTAATTGTTCGATTCAGATGTTCGACTGCTCATTCTTTCAAGAAATCAATGATCTAAAATTGTATCGGCCCTGATTGGAAGAATAAACATCCTTTTATGCGCCAGAGATTTTTGAAAATCATAAAAATTCTGGATTCTCCACCATTTTGTTTCTTTCAATTATTGGATTTTCAAATGTTCCATTGTGTTGGTACTACAGTTCTTTATCTTTGAAATAACTCTAAGATATCCAAATTCGATTGAATTCTCATGAAGCGTGAAGCAAAATAATAATAATTGTTCATTCGAGATTAGCACATTCACTCCATAACAAATTGCGTAGAAATGAGTGTATCTACTGGAATATTTGTTCGATGTCGATGTTCGAGTACTCATTCTCTTCAGAAATGGATAGCCTATGATGACATCGGTACAGGTTGGAAAAAATCTGATTTTCTTTTTCTCCAGCGGTTTTTGTAAATGACAATACTTTGGTAAAATTCGCCATTTTGTTTTTGTTCATTATGAAATTTTCAAATATTCCACTGTATACTATAGCCCTTTAGCTATGAAACGACGCCAAGAAATTCGAATTCGGTTGAGAAATGATGATCCGGTTTTTTTGTGACCACCCGATACAGTTTGGGACATTTCTGGGTTGTTTAGAAGTGACATTATATGAGATCTGAAGTCATGCCAGAATATGTACCACTTGAGAAATTCGCTGGATGTCCCTAAAGGAAAGTTTGAAATTATATCCGATCAGGAACATGCCAAGGTCGCCCTTTCATAGACACTCTACAATAATGTACCACGTGAAACGTCTAAGGGATGCTATTTTTAGGACATTTGAAATGATGTACCAGCTAGGACATGCCATGGACTACCTTGGTCGGAAATTGCATAAGATTTACGGTATGGGACGTCCCAAGGACACCTATTTTAGGTTCGGCAATTGTACCAAATAGGGACGTCCTAAGGACGTTGATTTCTATTAGAGATTATTGAATTGGTATGACATGTCTTACGAGCAAATTCACGATAGTAAATCGCCCTTCGAATTTCAGAGTAGTGGATTTCGAAATATTGAAGAATAAAAATACTGTTCGTAGTTTAATCGAGGAGGTGTTACATTCGGTTACATTCGTTTCACTTGATTATCTGGGATTTTCTCTCCTCGTTTCTACAAAATAAGAATATGAGTATTATTTCAATATATGTGTAGTAGGACAAATCAGATGATTTGCCCCAAAATGTCACTGCGTTTAACAATTTCTTCTATCTAAAGGAAAAATCCAATAGCTTGTCAGTGACACTTTGTTTGAAAAAAAATTTGAAGAGAAGAAATGTAGATATATTGAATAAATATAGTTCCTGAAATGTCCAAAGCTGAGTAAAAAATCGATATTCTTCCAATAGGTATGTCTATATTTCTTATCTTCAAACTTTCTTCCAAACAGATTGTCACTGACAAGCTATTGGATATTTCTTTTAGGATTCCTGATAAAAAAATTTGTTAAACGCAAATCATCTGATTTGTCCTACTACACATATATTGAAATGTTACTCATATATTTATATTGAAGATACGAGAAGAGAAGATCCCAAATAATCAAGTAAAATGATCATTCTCTCACTGCGCATTGGTGAGTCGATTTCAATCGGCCTATATTTTGGTTTTTCGTATAGAATTTATAGCACGTTATTCTGTGACACTCTGTTTCTATCATAGATATAAAAGCGGATCAATGGTGACAGAATACTTCGTGATAGTTTTTTCATGTCAATATTGAATGGAAATAACTATGAAGTGCCCCTGAATTGAAGTCGAACACCTGCATTTTCGCTCAGATTCATGAGTTTCTAACTTCCAAACAAACTAACCGATTTCAATTCAATTTCCAGATTTCAGAAGCTTGTTTCATTGGTTTCCGAATTATTCATTAGGAGAACGAAAGAACGCGTGAATAAATATTTCACAGGGCGATGAAAGGCACACTGCAAACTTGCATCGAATTGGGAAAGATCTTATTCCGCCCAAGAATTTTTTTTTCTGAATGAAAATGAAAAAGCATTCCAATTATGACATCAAACTCTATGATTCAATATGAGAAAACCAAAAAACAGTTGTTTGGACGGAATGGGATCACTCCAAATTCGATACAAGTTTGCAGTGTGCCATTCATCGCCATGTGAAATTTTTATTCTCAAATTTTTTCATTATTCGAATTCATGATTCTGGAGTCAACAAAACGGTCTTCTGGAATCTGGAAACCGAATTGAAATCCATTGATTTTTCTGAAGTTTTCATCTTACGTATCTGAGCGAAAATTTCAGATATCCCATTTAAATTGCGGGGCACTGTAAATATCACCATATATTTTGAATATACTCAAGAAATCTTACCTTCGTCTCTATTTTGTATTGAATATTTCCATTTTTATGTTTTGGTTCGATCCAAGAAATATCCAGCCCATGAACTGAATTCGAATATGTTATATTCCTAACCTCGGAAGGTACTGAAAAACAAAACAAATTGTGAGTTTGAGAATTCCTCTCATTAACTGCTTCACAAATGTAGTGGTCCACCTGAATATTCTGGAATGCTTTTTTCCATGTAATGTAATGATTGTGCAAGAATGAGATGGCTTACTCACTCACCCGCAACATTTATATCTTCAGATCTACAGAGAGAAATATAGAATCATTTAAAAATTAATATTTTCAAAGTTTTTCAATCATATGGAAACATTTTCGGAATTTTTTCTAGTATAATTACTCCATTTGTTTCGTCGAAACGATTACGTAATGTTTTCACTCGGCAGACTGATCAAAGCGCAAAAATACATGACTGATGATGAAATATTCATTTAAACACGAGTTACGTAATATAAATATGGATTGACGAAGAGAATAGTGGATATTGTGCTTCTTCGGAAATCTGAATTTGTATCAGCTATTTTCCACTCATGAAGATATTAAATGAGTCTATTTCGTGATTTTTGTAGCTGATTTGTGGCCATATTATTGTTTGACGGATACTTCAAAGTGACAGGCGAAGTCAACTTGCCAATATACTGAATTTTGTCATCGAACATTAACTTTCAGACAAGAAGGCTCACTCACGGCGGCGCCGCGAATAACTCCCTCTGGAAGATCGGATATGCGTACATACCGAATGGCACGCGAAAGCCTCGAGAGCGGCGAATGGGCGGCGATTATATCAAGTATACCGATTGTCCCGTCACGTGTAGGTCTCGGTTCCATTGTTATTTTGAAATACTCGAACTCATTTTGATACTACGTATATTTGATAAATCAACATAGAAATCTGTATTCAAATGCGAATGAGTAATTTGTTGAAATAGTAATTTATTATACAATTGAAAAAAGTATCAGATTTTAGCTCGAGAGCTAAAATTTGATTTTTTCACCGTGTACTTATAATAAACTATCTGTTTCTGTGATGAGATTACCGACGATTTAATAATAATACTAATTTGAAGTTTATAACTGGTAGGCTGTTGTATACTTATCAACTGAGAAGAAGCCAAAATGCTCAAAGTTGAATGAAATGTTGAATACATAGATGCAAAACCCGAAGTAATTTCCACATATGCTCAGGAAATGAACAACAATGGTAGATGACGGGAGAAAAACAACTACTTTCCTGATTAGTGACTATCAATAAGGGAGGGTAACAGTCGTTTCATGATGTTCTTCAGCCTTGGTACTCCTTCAGAACATCATATTAATTGTGCTTTCTGTTTTTTTTTCTCATTATCTCTAGAGCCGCTTTACAGTTTTCAATTTTCATTTGCAAGGTGATCGATTGCTGCTGTCATATTTCTACGTTTTTACCCTGAATCGGAAAGACCGACATGCAATTTTTTCTTATAAAGAATAATTGTTCTGCTTCTTATTTTTCGAGTTCGGAAAAAGAAGCCATGGAAACAGTAACAATCAATTTGAATCTGGAGATGCATAATCAATAATGCTAAACACCGAGAATCCAACATAACGACAGCTCTCCTAAATGTCACTAGTCAGTAGGCACGCAATGAAAATTGCTGCAATTTTCATGGAAAATTACGAGCTGTTGCAGCTAGTTATTTTGCATTCTTGCATGGTAATTCTCTTGTAGATTTTATTCCAATTATTTTTTGGAATATTAAATGAAATGAAGTTCTCTTGTTATGCTCTAGAGGAGAGGGGGTGTTTACCCCCTATAATCCCCCGTAGGACCACCCTTTATGGTGACTATTTCACTTATCTCAAAGAAACTCGTATTGACGTGGAAACACTTGCCGTCTTTCAATTATGATTGGTCTATCAGCGTTGGTGATTTCAACGATGTATCCAAGAATAAGGAAGAAAAATAAGATATTTATAGCTGTAGATGTCAGAATGAATCGCTTTGGTTATATGGCTTGTTAATTTATTATAAATGTAATAAATGAAATAGTCTAGAGGAATATCACTCTTTTCTGAATATCTTCTCATGATTGTGGCTTTCATCATCAACTCCAATTGTGTCGCAGTATAGCAATACCACTCGTCCTGACGGACTCCTCGTGTTGCTCGACAACACAATAACGTTAACAAAGCAATAGAATATCATTTCAAATATCCAGAACATCGTGATATCATTATAATAGTTGGCAATCAATACAATTCAAATGAGTAGATTGTAGAAACGAATAGCAGAAGTTGCAAAGAAAAATTTCATAGGTTTTTCGGGAAAAATACAGAAATCAAGCCAAAAATCTCTATTGATGACCAGATTTCCAAAAAATATTGGATTGATTGATAATATGTATATTAGCTTTGAAGAAATTTATCATACCAACACAAATTATGAGTCCTTAGCTTTTTCAAGTAGAAAAGTTCCTATCAATGTATTTGATAAAATGCATTTGAGCTACTGGGTGCAGAAAGTAAGAAAAAAAATGGAATCAGAATTTTTTTCACCAAAAATGGCTGTGGCAATAAAATTGGTCAAAATATCCTAGGTAAGTCAACGGAATAATTCGTTGTTTTCAATTCCAAATGTTCCCCTTATATTTCAGATTAATCGAAAGAATATTCTGAATGTAACAAAAAATTATTCATCGCGGGAAAACGGATTGAATGGCTCACGGTCATATTATGATGTCATTCACTGAAAAAATTTTCACAAGATGTCTACAATATCATGTTAGAAATTCAAGTCAATATAATGTCTCAGAAGTCATGAAAGTTAACGTGTCTGAGCATACAGAATTAGCGATGACTAGATCTCCTCAAGTAAAATTTTCCGGAAGTAAAATACCTCTCCGTTCGGATTTCCGGGCGAGAGGTGCTAAAGGGGGTTCACCATCAACTGAAAAAGTCCTCAAGATATGTAACATCCGAGGTCTAAGTAAGAACATCGACGATGTCCATCGACATCTTCAAATTGAAAAGCCAGACATATTGGCTCTAACTGAGACACAGGTCTATTCATCCACCAATACGACTTATCTGTTCTGTCCTGGGTACGAACTCCACACACGTTCCAGATTCAAGGCAGTTATCTGCCTCTACTCTTAAACGAATCTCTCATGTCAACGAGAAAAAACTTTGGAACCAAATAAGTTTGATGTCATGTGGTTCAAACTCGATAGCCAGAAACAGACCAAATACCTTTGTTGTCTTTATATACTTATCACCAAATGATCCATCCTATAAAGAGCTCTTCGAATTCTTGTCTCTGAAGCTTGACCAAATTAAACAGAACCATCCAGCAGCAGAAATCATCATCATGGGCGATTTCAATGTACACAACACTGCTTGGCTCGTACAGTCTAACAGAACGGATGAAGCTGGGCGACAAGCCGAAGCTTTCGCCATCACTCACGGCTTAAAGCAGCTTATCAAAGAACCCACACGAATTCCCTATGCCAATAACCATTCAGCTAACATACTTGACTTATAACTCACTAATAATTCAGCACCCTACACCACAGATGTACGAGCTCCACTTGGCAATTCTGACCACACACTCATCTCCACAACCTGCCCATTTTTTATTCCATCAATTGCTCCGGCACCCCCACGTCTTATATGACATTACAATTCAGGGGATTGGGACGGTTTCCGCATGTTTTTCTCCGAGTTTCCTTCGCATAGAGTAGGGAATGTGGGAGAGTTGGTACCGCGGGTGAGTTGGGACAGCGAATTTTTCTCGAGTTTGGTTGGTAGAATTGTATTGTTGTCAATACAGGTTAAGCACATCCGAGGCAGACGTGAATAAACCTCAGTAGCAGACGCGTGTGTTGTTTCATCGAAATACCAGATAACTATTACTATTTATTCGACTCGAAACTTATCATTTTGATTCATCAAATAATCCGAATTATATCTTCGCAATGTAAGTTAGATCTGAAAGTTGATTATACATATGATGGCCAATGATTAAGCCATATGAAATGTAGTAGTGATTTCATGATTCACTTCAACTTAGAAAACAATATGGCCACTGGAAGTGTAATACAACAACATGGGAGAGTTGGGACACTATTTCAAGGGAGAGTTGAGACGTCCCATGTCTCCTTTATTTCAATTATCAAGGTATGTTTTATATATTATTTTCATATTTTCAGTCATACCATTACGCTATAAAAAAAAATCAGATAACCCAGTGATCCCAAATCAAATCATGGAAGAAGCCGTTGCCGAATACAAAAATAATGGTGGCTTGCGAAAAGTTGCTGCAAAATTTGGTGTACCAAAGACTTCGCTCTCAAGAACTGATGCTCGTTGAATACATTTTAACTGCGTCCAGAATGCATAATGGTCTTAGCAAACTGCAAGTTCGTGAATTTGCATTTCATTTCGCCATAGCCAATAGAAAGGGATTTCCTAAAAACTGGCAGAAAAATGGAAAAGCTGGGGAGGACTGGTGGAAAGCATTCAAAACACGAAATCCTACTATATCTATCAGGAAACCAGAGGCAACAAGTCTTTCACGCTGCACTAGTTTCAACCGTAAAAACGTGATTGAATTCTTCGATAATTTGAATGAGGTGATGACGAAATATAACTTTGCGGCACATGATATTTATAACTGACGAAACAGGCCTCACGACAGTTCAGAATCCGCGGAAAGTAGTTGCTGAGACAGGCGTCAGACAAGTCGGCCAAGTCGTTTCAGCAGAGAGGGAAAGTTTAGTGACGAGTTTATTCGCGATTAATGCAGCTTGTAAGACTATTCCGCCATTTTATATTCTCCCAAGGGTGAATTTCAAGGAGTATATGCTCAATGGTGCCACAGCAGGAATTGCGGGAGCTGCTCATCCATCCGGTTGGATGACGGATATCAACTTCGCCTTATACCTAAAGCATTTCTTCCAATTCGCAAAACCTCTCGCAGATCGGCCAGTTCTCCTACTATTAGACAATCACGATAGCCACATATCCATTGAGTCACTGAACTTCTGCAAGCAGAACAATATTGTCCTATTAACATTTCCGCCATATTACAATGATGAATGTGATT